TCATCTTCTGTGGCCCAGCCATTCATTCTCTTGTCTGAGTTGCTTTAGTCTTCCATCACATTTCCTGTAATTTTAATTGTGGGTGGTTTTTAAAGGTATTTGGATGCAGAATGTTTCAGAAAGGCTTATGTGCTAAAGCAAAGAAAATGTCAAAACAAATCACTAGCAAATGAGATCATTGTAAACTGTAAAATGTGACAAATTGCTGTCACAGCCACTCTGTGTGTATAACTGCAAAGGCCTTTTTGGTGACAACTCCAAGGGCAGAGCTGAAGCAGGATGCACAGTCCCACTTGCACCTGATAGATTTTGACTTTGCACTTGACTGGTAACACAGTATTAGTGCTATACAAGCAGGTTCAGGAGTGTGTAATTTGAGAACCATACTTTGGAAAACTTACTGATGCCAAATCTCTCTTCTAACTCAGTAAGTGTCAAAAAAAGATGGTTCTGGGGAAGTTATTCCCTCCCACTTCCCCCCACCCCTCTTTAGAAGCAAGCAAGTAGAGTAATGTTTCAAATTGTTCTGTTTTTTGGAAGGTAGGTTCCTGCAGAGACCAATATATGTGTGTATGTACCTATGTGTATTTATTTTGCAGGAAGCTGAGGAAGGTTGCAGGTTGGAAAAAACAAATTCTTGATTAGCTTCTCTCTCTCAGATTATGTGAGAATGTACTGAGAGCACTCTTCCACTGTAGCAGAAGAAGAATGAGGCCAGGGAGAGTATCCTGTGTTGCAGTTGGACTGGGCAGCTGTGCAGCACCAGGCCTGGACTATAATATTTTATTCTCACGTTCATTTTCAAGAAATTATGTTGCCCTGGATACTGAAGGGTAGTACTGGCAGGGAAAATGGCAACAAAACAATCACTTCAGAGTATCTGCCACTGAGCTCCTCTAGGTGATTTAAAATTCAAGAATGCTAATAGGAATATCAACTGCACAAGGCTAAGGAATTAACATTAAGGCACACTGGACTAAAAGCAAGAGCCATGTAGGCTTCCCTCAGCCATCCATTTTTTTGCAGGAAACGCTATCATTCACAAGGTCTTTCTAATACAAAAGCTCCTTGGTGATACCTGCTGATTTGCTGTGGGGGTTACAGCAGCCTCAGATTTGCTGTTAGCAGCTGCATGTCCTTACTTGCTCCTGAGTCAGTCAGTCACATCTGCTTGAACTGTGCTGAGTGATGTGAAGTTAGCAGATCAAGATGTGAAGTTAGCAGGCTTTACTCCAGTGTCTGTGAATTGCTGTTTTCAGTGCAAGGGCGGTTATGCTAAGCCAAGCCAAGTGGACTACAAATTTCTGGCATTCCAAAGCATTCCAAGTTTCACTGTCTTTAAAAAGGACAGGTTTTCAGTGTTGTCAGACTGTTTTAGGAAGCTCTTTACCTGCTTTTAGCTAACCATTAAGTACATTACAAAAACAAGTTGAAAAAAATACCTCCACCAAACTGGTTGCACTAATTTTGAGGGGGTTTTTTCCCCCCCTGTAGATAATGAAGGAAAAGTATGAAAAGTGGCCATCTCTCTTGAGTGCAATGTTTGTGATTGGATGACATGTTATAGTTTTGCACCTGGCTTCACCACCCTCCATTCACCCCTCAAAAAATAGTCTGTGTTGCATTGTGGTGTGGGTTTGTTTTGTTTTGTTTTTAAATATGCCTGTAAGCCTTTTCCAGTGTATTATGTGTTTTCCAGCCACTGTAGAAGATTATGCTGCAGTGTACTGCCAAATGCTTTGGCTACCTCAGGTCAAACTAGTGGCAAGGTGTTTTGCTGCAATTAGCAGTCTGCCTGTTTGGTAAATATGTGGCTGGCATTTGGTTGCAAACCCAAGTGATGGGCTTTTAGAAAAAAAGAAAAAGAAAATAAAAACCAAACACACATAAAACCTGATCCTATAAAGTCTGATGCTGTAAAGTTAGAACAGAATATACAGGTGTCAGTGAGGTAGAGAAAAAGCAAGGGGTGTGAGGTACCGTTTCTCATGTTACAGTGATGTTAGGAAAGGTAGATTGAAGAAATGGGATTGGAATGTAACCATCTTTTGGCCTATAACATTATCTTTTGGTGGATGCTCATTGAGTTCTTGATGGAATTGCTCCTAGTGGTTAGTGTTGTCTTGCACCTACTTTTTTCTGCTGTACTTACTTTCCAGCCCAAGCTAGACTTACCTGATTTGCAGAGGCTGCCCTTCTGGGGTCCTTACTTAATATTATCGGTGTGGAGCAATTTACAACACATCTCAGACTATCATGTTTCATTTCGTTTGAGAGATGACATTTATAGTGTAAATGTGTTACTGGTTATCCAGAAACAGCTCTGTGGGAGCTCAGAATGTACTTCAGCTTCATGTTGTATACCCTATAGCAAGCATAGTGATACATTGCAACTATTTTTTTTGCTAAAGTCCTTACTTCTGACAAAAAATTTCACTGAGGATTATACCACCCCTTGACTTACATTTTTTTCCCTTTTTTTACACCAAAATAAGTTTCCTCTTTCCCACTTTGTTTTGCAAAAGGAATTAGAAGAGCTCATTGACAGCTTTTTACTTTCACCATGCAAAAGCCATTTTTTCCAATCCCAATCACATTTGTGTGGTTTTGGAGGCAAAATCTTTGTCACCTCGAGGATGTCCATGGCATCACTAGGTGCTTATAGAAAGCATGCTGTAATAAAGGAGATCAAAATATTTTTCATGAAAGCGTAGCATTTTGTGTTCTGAAAAATGACAATAAATAATTTCCCTGTGTCCCTCCCTCCTGTCTTTTAAGCCTTAATTTAGCAACTGCTGTTGAGTTAATAAGGGCTCAGTACATTCCTACTGCATTTAAGAGAACATTGTTACCTAAGAATTTGCTTTGCCTAACATTTAATCAAAAGTTCCACTCATTTAATGGGATAGTGCATTATGGTAAATGCAGAGAACGCTCTAAGGGTAGTGGACTCCCAGTGTGCGTACATCTGAAGTTAGGATCCTCTAATTACACAAACTACTTCATCAGCCTTTTTAATATTCTTCTGAGCGGTGAAGTGCTGTTATGGTGTTCTTGTTGATTTATTTTTTAAATACATAGTACCAAAATGCCATTGACTTCTAACGGAACAGTTTTTCACTATAACGTTACTAAATCAAAGCTGCTACTTGGTTAATTGTCTGAAGTGTCTTAGCCACGTGAACAAGTATTGTGAATGCTGTACTTGAGCATCTATATTCATGCCTTTTTTTTTTTTTTAATTGCCTGTTTTTAGTGGACCTGTTGGACCTGAACACAACAAGTGAAGTTTTCAAACAGCACAAGTTGAGTCAAAATGACCATCTGATTGGTGTACAGGATGTGATCAGCTGTCTCACTACCATCTACAGTGGACTTGAAGAGAAACATAAAGATATGGTGAATGTTCCTCTCTGTGTAGACATGTGTCTTAACTGGCTACTCAATGTATATGATAGGTAAGTAAAAATAAATAAATAAATAAATTATTCACAGTGTGTACTCTAGGAATTTAATGTAGCAAAGTATAAACCGTGGAGACAGACTTGGTGAGATTTGCATGTCACTTATCAAAAATGCTGGACTTAAATGACTGTTGTATATTTTTTCTGAGTTACTTTCTTGAGGAAATGTTCATGATAATAGAAAAATGATAAAGCCTTAAGAAGTTCTTTAATAAAAAGTCACATCTTTTGATAATTTTGACTCAGTAATGAAAGAGCAGTTGCTTGAAATTACATGTTTCTTAAGCTGTCCTGCTTAGATACACCGAATTAACATTACACTGCTTACCAAAGAAACATTGAAAGGGAACGTTTCAGGAAGTGTATATGTGAGCAGAGAACTGAATACCCTGCATTAGCTGTGTTCTTACTCTTAAGTGTTCCAAATTGCCCAGATTGTTTGCTATTCATACTGGATCCTATTTCTGCCACAGGTGGGGACAGTTTTGTTACCTAGTTTACACTTAGTTACTTGCATGCCATATTCCTGTCTGAGCTCCCTATCCTGAATCCTTTGTCGAGTGGTGGTTGTTTTGGTCTCAGCACTAAAGCATCTCTGATTCTGGAGGCCCAGCGGTGTCCTGATCATGGCTCAATTCCAGCATGTGCAGCTTCTGCCTTGTATCACTTCCGAGTGCTGGTGCTATGTGATCCACCTGCCCTCGTCCTGACTGCAAAGCTGTATTTCCCTGGTGGATTCCGAGTTTGTCTCAATAATGTTTTGGGATGCTTACAGTAAGAACTTGAGGGTTTATTTAAATGCACGTCTGCTATTTCCAGAGAGAGCACAGAGTCTCGGAGGACATGAAAAGGTCCACTCCAGCAGCCCCCTGTGGTTCTGTCCAGTCCTTTCTGAGTCCCCAGACACTTATTTCTTCTGCTGAATGTCGAACTCTGACCTCTCTGCCCTGCCCCACATTACATCAACCTGCATGACCTACAATCAATATGTTTTCATTTAGTTGTGCTTTTGAGTCATGAGTTTGTTGCTTATTTTTCTTAGTGGTGTTTACTATTCTCATCTCCCTTCTGTAGTAAAAACTGGGAAAAGACTTGGTCTCCATCAGCTTCTCTGTTCCCTATAATGTATCTCCTTACACTGCTTGAGCAAAGGCATTTCAGGGCCCTTCTGGGGCTGACAAAAGACATAGTAGTGCAATACATGGGGTGATCACTTCAGTGTGTCTAATTGAATATGTGTTTTAGTTCAGAGCTCTACAGAGAATTATGACTCAGAATTCCTAAGCTACATGAGGCTGGTTAGCAAATTTCTTTCCTTTCTCCCCATTAGAAGATGGAAATAGCAAAAGTATTTCTTGAGTAATGATAGGAATTCTTATACCTGGCTTTACAAAAGAGAGCTGTTACTTCTTGATATAGGTGTTATCTTCACTATATGCACTCACTTTATCAGTGCCAAATTTTAATAGTTCATAGCTTTTTGCTCTCCCACCCCCCAGAGGATTGCATGCCAGTAGTCCTATACTTTGTGGATAATTTATTTTATTTTATTTTGCTTTTAAATATTGTGGTAGGGGAGAGGGAAGGAGGGAACAGAGTACATATGACCATTTATCGTTTATGTGCTGACTACCTATTATGCTTTGGCATTTGAATATTACTATTTAATATTGTGACATTTCTGTTAGTTGTGCTCCTCATCATTACTGCTGGAAAATTGGAGAGCCCGTCAAATAATGACTGGGACTTCTTCCTGCAATTATTTTTATTTTGCAGAGCTCTGTATTGCAGATGAATAAACATACCACTTGCAAATAGAACAGTAGATCAAGTGGTTTGCTTGACTTAAATGTTATTGACTATTTAGAATAAGAGACTTAATAATGTCAGAGAATTTTTTTATAGTTACTGGTTGGGTTTTTTTTCAGATTGACCACAAATCCATTACATTTTCTTCAGCTTTCCTTTGCTTCCTAACTTCAGATAGAAGTCAGTTGTTTAATCTGTTCATATTTCAAATGCATGTAGTAAGCAACAAACCTTTCTTTCAATAACGTTTCCTCTTGCTCCCATTTCTCCTTGATTATTATGTTGAAAGCTTTAATGTAGATAATTCTTCAAGCTGATGAAAGACTTTAATCTTTATTCAAACTTTGAAAAATGGAGGATGAAGGTTTTGTGCAATAAAATTACCTTTTACAGTTAGTTTCCTTGTTCCTTTTTCAAATCCACTCTAGAAAAAAAAAAAAGCTGAAAGAACAGGCCCCAATTTTGAGCTTCCTTTTTTTTTTTTTTTTTTTTTAAATTGGCCTTCAGGAAAGAGATAATTTATGTCTTGGCATTTCCACTGTTTATTGCACTGATTTTATACATACAGAATGTTTCAAATCTTAAACTGCCTACAAAAAGCATCTGTTAGTTGCATACTATTAACCTGAGATTTAATTACTGATTCACAGATTGATGGCAAACTGGGTAGTTCTTCAGACTTGCCTACAGATGTCTTTGGCCCTTAAAAAGAACCAATTTATTTTTAGAAATAGTAGGCAAGTCTCTTGTGTTCTATTTTCTGACACATCAGGAATGATTCATTCTTCAAGCTGAGTAGTGGAGAGAAACATTAAATTTACTCAATGGCTTTTACTTCTTCAAGGACTCAAAGGTTGTTCCAGGCAGCAACATCTGCCCTGTAAACATTTTCCAAAGTTAAAGTTCCTTGTTTTGCTTACTCCAGAGATTTTTTTAAAAATGAAATTATAAATAAATGTTTGGATTTTACAATGAGAGTTGTGAAGGAAATTGTGCTATAAAATCATTTTTCCAGGCCTGTGTTTAAATAATCCAAAAGCAATAGCTGGTGGTTATTTTTCTGTCAAATTTGCTAAATTATCCAGAAGTGGTTTATATGAAATGGACTGATAGCTTTCAGTACTAATGGAATAACTCAACTTCCTTGAAATGAGTTGGTCTAGATATTTTAAAGCCTGCTATACATAATATAGAATACATGTACTAATTGTGGGTGATGACTCATAATTTCAATCAAAATTACCCAGTGTCCATAAAGAAACTTTTACATCCATTGTTTTTAAAGTCTTGCAACGTTAATCTGACTTCTTGTATTGAAACTTTTAAGTTTTCTTGATTTTTGTGGCAATAGGATACTTTTAATAATCTGTTCTCTTAAATTCAATTTCTTTGGTGCCTTAGTCTAAGAAGGGTATCTATAGTATTGCACATATGCTAACCTTTTCCATATGATCAAAGCTGTCATTCATGATCATTCTCTATGGCCCAGGCTTCCCTTGAAGAATTACAGCTTTGTTATTTATTGTTGCACTATACAGCTGGCAAATTCTAACACCAGGTTGGGTTAATATCCTAGGCCTTACCAGCATGTTAAGTTCAGCAAAATCTGAAGTTTTGGGAAGGATGAGAGACCCATTCAGTCAGCCTTAACATTATGCTCTGGCTTTGACAGAAATTTTCTGCTTGCACTCCAGTTGCGTTCCCTGTGTTGATGATAGCTGTCTTGATTAGTAGAGGACTCAGTGGGAGCAGCTTTGCAGGCTGTGACGGTACTAAGAAGCCCTCTAGGAAGGATATTCTCCTCTGTAGGGCAGCAAAATGATCTCCTTTGACTCCTCTGTGGTTGATCAAGGGGAGGCATCTGTGGAGACCTTCAGAGACCTACAAGGCTGCCTCCTGCTGCTGGGTTATGTAGGTAACCGATTGGTATTGACATTGGTAGTCCTTAACTGTAGTGTCAACATTGACCAGGCTTGAGAGCTCTCTGACAAAAGTCAGAACTGAAATGGGATCATCTTCTAACTGCTCTGGTTTTCCTTGCTAGTGCCTGAGGTTTTCATGCTGTTGTCCCCGACCCCTGGGGGGCAAAGGTTTACTCTGGACTTGATACTGCTTATCTTGTTTTCTGTAGATTTGCCAGTCATCCTTATTGTGTATGTCTGTTTGCAATCTCTTGTACTTAATCTTGTCCAATGCCTGGCAAATTTTGTTATCTGGCTAACTCCTGTGCGCAGCTGTGCTCACCACTGTTTGCCCCTTTGGCATTCATGTTGTTCACATCCTTAGGTAAAATGCTATACATTGTGTCTGGCTATGCCATTGCGATGCTACTGAATACTTGCATACCATTGTTAGAAACAATAGTTTTGTATGCTTATATTCAACAATCTAATATTAATTATATCCTGATTAGTACATTTATAATTTACAGGTGTCACAGGCTTCTTTTTTGACTATGGTGTAGACTGTGTGTGCCTGTCAAAAGAGTTTTGAGTCCTAACTCTGTATGAAGATGTTACTTAGAGAAAGGAGTAAAGTTTGCATATGACAATTGCATGATTATGGAACATTGTTTGAAAGTTTGCTAAATTTGTTTTCCTGGAAAAACATACCTTGAGATAACTTTATCCCTGCTTTAATATCTGTCACTAAATTTCCTAGGTGTTTGAGCAGAAAGAGAAGTGTTATTTTTAGGATTGAGCATGCTGTTTTGCAGCTGAGATGTTCCTGTGGCTGAGTAGTGTTTAACTATATTATGTGATTCCCAAGTGCTCCACACAGCTTGTGCCTGATGTAGTGAGGTCAGAATCACAGAATAGCAGGGGTTGAAAGGGACCTCAGAAGATCATCTAGTCCAACCCCCCTGCCAAAGCAAGTTGGTTCACCTACACCAGGTTGCACAGGAAAGTGTTCAGTTGAGTTTTGAACATCTCCAGAGATTGAGACTCCACAACCTCTCTGGGCAGCCTGTTCCAGTGCTCCGTCACCCTCACAGTAAAGGAATTTTTCCTTGAATTTGTCTGGAACTTCTGGTGTTCCAGTTTTTGCCCATTGCCCCTTGTCCTGTCACCAGCCACCAACAAAAAGAGCCCGGCCCCATCCATTTGGCCCCCACATTTCAGATATTTCTAGACATTGATAAGATCCCCTCTCAGTCTTCTCTTCTCAAGGCTGAGGAGTCCCAGCTCTCTCAGCTCTCCTTGTATGGCAGATGCTCCAGGCCCCTCATCATCTTTGTGGCCTCCACTGGACTCTCTCTAGAAGATCCCTGTCCCTCTTGAACTGAGGAGCCCAGAACTGGACACAGTACTCCAGATGTGGCCTCACCAGGGCAGAGTAGAGGGGGAGGAGAACCTTCCTTGACCTGCTGGCCACACTCTTTTTAATGCACCCCAGGATACTGTTGGCCTCCTTGGCCACAAGGGCACACTGCTGGCTCATGACCAACCTGCTGTCCACCAGCACATCCAGGTCCTTTTCCACAGAGCTCCTTTCCAGCAGGTCAACCCCCAACCTGTACTGGTGCATGCGGTTATTCCTCCCCAGGTGAAGGACTCTGCACTTGCTCTTGTTGAACCTCAACAGGTTCCTCTCTACCCAACTCTCCAGCCTGTCCAGGTCTCATTGAATGGCAGCACAGCCTTCTGGAATCATAGCTGTTTTGTTTGTTTGGAGTTCAGTTGTTACGGGATTTGCAAGGGAACTCACAAGGCGTGACTCACGTCTGTTGCCCATGTTATCTGTGCGTTATCTGTTCTTCCCTCCCTCTCCTGCGTCCTTTAATTCCTGTATCTCCTGTAGTGAGATAAGGGATAAAAGTATTCTCCCTTTCTCTTCTGATACTACAGCCATTCTATCTCACCCTTTTTTCCTTCATTTGCTTATGTTATTGGACAGTAGTGCCAGTCATTAGTTTTTATATATAAATCTCTGCAGCTGTGTTATTTCTCTGAAAGACCTGAATGGTTGCTCTTTGCTTGGATGGAGAGTCCAAACTTTGCAACAAAGTTGCATGTGCTCCATCCTCTCTACCTGTGCAACATGGTACCCTCCCTTGACCAAATGATCTAGTTGGCTGATTCCCCACTAAGCTAGTCCTCTCCTGTAGTATGTGCTTTCAGCACACTCTCTTACCATGCCTGGAAATAATGTGTACCTTTTCTTTTTGACACTTACTTTGGCAGGTTTTAAAGTTGCATTACTTCTAGGTTCTGTGCCACTTCCTGACTGACAGTGGATGAAGGTGCAAGAGGGGGATCATATCTGAGACATATTGGCCAGAGCTTGCCTGGTGCATATGTACAGACAACAGAATCAGCTACAAACCCAAGGATTTCTTTCTTTCCTCCTTCCCCTCATGTCTCTTTCCTCTCCCCTTCTGCACTAAAGCAATAAAATTCCCACTCGCCTGGGGAAGGAGAAGAATGTCAGCATCACACTATAAGGGCAATGAATCCTTAAACTTTGTATTGCTTGGGGTAAGAGGGCTCAGATATATCCAGAGGGACAAATGGGTTTTAGTAAACAAGAACAGTGCTTCTGAGAAGCAGCTGTAATGGTTTTGCAATTTTTTACTTGCAGATAGGTCAGAGGTCAATAATGTGCCATTTTTATACTGCCTTTCACTGTTGTATTGACCGAGAATGGATGAGTTTGCTCTAAAACAGGTTAATAGAGGTATAATCGTTCAGAGTTCCCTTCATCAAGATCAGAGTGAAAAATATCTGAGCTGCTTGAAGTAGTCTTATCAATTGATTTTTTAATGACAAGCATACTTGTATTGCTATAAAATGCATCTGAATAGTGTGCTGGCACTTAATTCTAAATACTTGACCCATAAATTCTGTATGAATTGAAGCATTAAAAAGGTTCTTGAACATTTCTATTGTAAGACTTTGATTTTCAGATGTTTGTACATACATCACAATTAGATGGTTGTGCTGCCATTCAGAGGGACCTTGACAGGCTGGAGGAAGGGGACAACAGGAACCTCATGAAGTTCAGTGAAGGGAAATGCCATTTCCCCACCCCCACCCCGAGGAGGAATAATCTCATACACCAGTACAGGCTGCGGGATGACTGGCTGGAATCAGCTTTGCAGGAAAGGCCCTGAAGGTCCTGGTGAACACCAAGCTGAACGTGAGCCAGCAACGTGCGCTTATGGCAAAGCATGCCAACAGTTTCCCAGGCTGCATTATGAAAAGATTTCCCAGTAGGTGTAGGGAGGTGATCCTTCCCCTCTACTCGGCACCAGTGAGGCACATCTGGAGTGCTGGGTCCAGTTCTGGGCTCCCCATGGACAAATTAGAGCAAGTCCAGTGAAGCGTACCACGAAGATGATTAAGGAGTATCTGATGTATCAGGAGAGGCTGAGAGAGCTGGGTCTTTTCAACCTGGAGAAGTCTCAGGGAGGATCTTATCAATGTGCATAAATACCTTAAGGGAGCAGCAGAGAAGATGGAGCTAGGGTCTTCTTAGTAGTGCCCAGTGACAGGACAAGAGGCAGTGGGCACAAACTGAAACACAGGAAATTCTATTTAAGCATATATGAAAAAGATTCTTTTAATGTGAGGGTGATCAACAGTGGCACAGGTTGCCCAGAGAAGCTGTGCTGCCTCCATCCTTGAAGACATTCAAAACCTGACTGGATACAATCCAGAGCAACATGTTCTACCTGACTGAGCAGAGGCATTGGTTTAGATGATCTCCAGAGGTCCCTTCCAACTTCAGTGGTTTTGTGACTCTCTAAGCTGGGAAAACTTAAACCATTGAACTGGAAGTGTCAATGATACAAAGACTATAGATTTGGAGGGGTTTTTTTTACTTGTATATATAATTTCAGTGCTAGTATTTAGCTATTTCCAAGAAAAAAGCTAGGGGGGAAATATGTTGCTCTTCAGAAAAGTGTAACATTGCAGGTTTTGACATTATTTTTTATAATTTATTGAGGAAATGCTTTTTGTGTAGAGGAAGCTTTTTGCACACTCCCTGTAACAATCTGCTGAAATCTGGAGAAGTTTGAAGTCTCCACATTTATGCCATGACCATGAAAGTTTTTCTGAATTTATGCCTTGAATAAACAAATGCTGTAGTCAATCCTGAGTGAAATTAAACCCAAATAAATTTGCTGCTTTGTACTTCCATTGAATACAAAGTTAAAACATAGACAAACCTACACAGGAAAGAATGACAAAAGAACTTTATCAAGGTTGCAAAATGAGCCATTTACACGTTAAGGTATGCCAGAATGATGTAGTGTCTGTAATTGAAAGAGGTAATTTGAAGCTAAGCTTGAATGTATAAAATAGGTGGCACTTTTATAACATTCTGGAAAATTGGGTCCTGATTTTCAAAGTAGGCAGTAAAAATAATGGACATTTTTTATTAATTTGGCAATAATTTCTCTGTACCTCTGTTGCAGCTTGTGGAATAGAGAAGATAATACTATCTAGTCTCACTAGATTAGGTGATGGTTGCATTAATATTTGTAAGGCACTTAGCTAATTTACTGAGAGCCCAGAAGTAAATTAATAATTTTGTATTCAGCACAACATCTGTGAAGTAAATCAGACAGCAGACCATATGTTGAATGGATAGGACAGAAAGAGATATCTAATAACCACTCGAGAAGTAATTAAAGGATATATTACTTCTGCATGACAGAATGAACCACAGTAATTTTTGGAGTTATATTAATTTTGGCATTGTCTTACTTGCTGGTAAAGGACCCAGCTAACCTTAAATGCAGGGATTTATGTATAATATATACAATTTAACTACTGTTATTAGGATTTGTTTGCCATGTCTCATCTAAAGACAAAGTGCATGGTGTTTTTTAGTGTTTGAAAGAAGGTATCATAAAATCTTTTAAGAATATGTTTCTGCACTTATCTTTTGAACTTTAAAATTTTCCTTTTTTATGTTCCCTGGTTTTATTGCTTTTGGTTTTATGGTTTTGAACAGTGCTTGTCTTGCAAGTTTAAAATCACTTCCTTTGGTACCCACTCATCTGTTCTCAAGTTGCTTAAGGTTTGATATGTGAGGTTTTTTGGATTTGGATGTTTTTTTTGGTGGTTTTTTGTTTTGTTTTGTTTTTTTCCAGGTTGGACAAGATGAGTCTGAAGTCACATTGCTTAAAAAGAACAACAGCTCTACAGCATTTAATTACTGCATGTTGACTGTTTATGTCCTGGTACACATGTATATCAGAGCATTTTAAACATAAAAGGAGACCTAATTAATGTTTACAAATATGTTAAGGGCGAATGTCAGGAGGATGGAGCCAGGCTCTTCTCAGTGATGCCCAATGGTAGGACAAGGAGCAATGGGTGTGAGCTGGAACACAGGAGGTTCCGCTTAAACTTGAGAAAAAACTTCTTTACAGTGAGGGTGACAGACACTGGAACAGGCTGCCCAGAGAGGTTGTGGAGTCTCCTTCTCTGGAGACATTCAAGACCCGCCTGGACGCCTTCCTGTGTAATTTCATTTAGGTTCCTGCTCCGGCAGGGGGATTGGACTAGATGATCTTTTGAGGTCCCTTCCAATCCCTAATATTCTGTGATTCTGTGATTCTGTGAAGTGAAAAAAAAATGAATTCATTAATGTGATATGAAAACTTGGTTTTATTTTGCAGTCCTTGGATTTTACACTGGGTAACAGGATTTCCTAGTGCATGTTCATGTAGTTTTTTCTGCGTATATCACATTATTAAATCATGTTGAGAGCTTCACAATGCTAAATATCTGCCCTTTAGAGCAATACGAAGTGTTTTGACATGTAACCACTTAGAAGATGAGATGAGCTTTTGTAAGGGAAGCATTTTTAATATGATTTGTGGTGTTAATTTGTTTTGAGATTTTAAGTATATTTGAAGTAGGACTCACCAATGACATTTTGAATAGACTTGATTTGGAATGAAATGAAATTAAACTGTATTAATTTGTCTTACCTTTATAATTTCAGTGGCCGAACTGGAAAAATTCGAGTGCAGTCCCTGAAAATTGGCTTGATGTCTCTTTCTAAGGGCCTCCTGGAAGAGAAGTACAGATGTAAGGAAGAATTTATTCTATAAAATGCTTATGTCATGTAATTTAAGTCATGTACAATAACAACACACATTGTAGCAAAATCTGTAGTAAAACATTTCTCATGCCTGTAGCAAGACAGTTTTCTTGCAAGTAAAATAGAATTGTTTTCATTATCATCAATAACAATGGAGAAAGTAGGATTTATATCCTGAATGGAAAGTATTGATGTCAACTATGCATCATCATAATGTGCAGCATTGTGCTCCCCAAAAACAAAGGAGAATGTAGCCATGTGGAAGCTAGAAAAGTATTCTGTTTGACTGATTCTGTTCTCTTTTTTTTTTTTTTTTTTTTTTGTGTGTGTGTGTAGGGTTTGTTTAGGGAAAAATCAAGCAAGTTGGTGTTGATTGACTCAGACTGATATGTCTGATAAAGCAAGGAAATACATCAAAATTCAGCAATTGTATTTTGTGGTCTATGAGAAAGTTCATCTGAACTCTGAAAATAGTTTTCCAGTATCTGTACTTCCTGATAGAATTGTGCAATGAAAGTTTAAAATATCTTGATTTAAGTAAACTCACAAGCTGGAGAAATACTAAGTGGTATAAAAGTATTTAACAAAAATAATTGCAGGAGCAGAAGAGAATTGAGTAACTTACTGGCAAAACCCCCTGGCAAATTCAGAACAAGAGATTAAGCACTATATAAGAGCATCCTAGGTGATGGATGATTATATATTATGAATATCATCTTAAAATTCCTGGTTTTCTCAGTAGTTCCTTGACACATTTCAGAAACACATGTAAAATGTGTAGAGACTGTATTTGCCATGTATCATTGGAGTTCTGCAACGATTTCTGCTTTCCTTAGAAGTATTTGTTGGTAATCTTGGTTATTAACATTGAGCAAAAGTACATGTATCTTATGCATTGGGGCATATTTTGGCATCCGAACTTGAGCCCGTACTAAGACTTTGGGTTTTTGTTTTTTTTTTTTAGTTTCCTTATGTCATTTGACATATCTGTGAATTAGTCCATAACTAAAAGAGCTTGGCGGACATACCTTGTTCAGTAATGACAATTCAGGAGGTAATCTGCCATTTGATGTGAAATAAAAAGCTCTTGTGAAATATAGGAGTGAGTTAGGCTATGGGTAGCAGAATGATAACCCTACCAAAAGATGGTTTAAAAAAAAACCCAAAACCTAGGAATAAACTCACATTAAATTACTATCAGTAATTAATTAGTATACTTAAAGTTACTGGATACAGACACTGAAGTAGAATGGGAAAATGACTAGGCCAGATTAATTTTTACGTTGTTGCTTTGTGTCTAGTAGTAAAATAAAAATGGCAGCAGATTTGCATAACCCAAGTTAACAGGGTGGGCTTTTTCCTGAAGATTGCTGTGAAAAGTCCTAAAACAGAGCAGAAGAAGTGTCAGGAGATTTCTGTACCAAGTGATCATAACTTCAATCTGAAATACACCTCAAATGGAAATAGTTGCTTGGCTTCTCAAAGCAGAGAATTAATAGTCAGATAACACAACCTTTTTTTGTTGTTGTTACTCCTGTTCTGATCAGTGGACCAGGCTTTGTTATGTTTCTTGGCAGCTGTATTGTCCTTATGAACCATAAAGTTATCACAAAACAAACCTTTTCAGTCTGAAAGAGATTTTTTTCAGAAGAAGGAAGTAAATAAGTGTGTCAGGTACTGGTTGTTGGCCTGCAGTGGTTAGGCAATCGGCATTTTGTGGTCCTCTGGCACCAGCTGTGTCACAGACTGATCTTTGGTGCGAACTTTCTTGCTTGTTTTGATTTTATCACCCCCCCCCTACAGTTGAGAGAAATTTTGTCATATCTATTGAGCTTTCAGGTCCTCAGGTGAAAACCATAATGGAAATGCTAAGTAATTTCAGTAAGTCACTTGGAAGGAAGAGCAGTACCCCCAAACATGGGTGCTCAATATGAATTATTTGACTTCTGAGTTTTCCCTTTCTCAGGCCAGCTCCTGACATTTGCTTCTCCTTTTGGTTATATTTCTTCTAAGCATTTCTGAGGTGTTGTCAATCCCAGGCTCCTCTGAGCATGGCAGTTGTCCTATGGTTGCAGTTGGAGAGACCATGCCTTAGATGTGGTAGTCTTAGAAAGGTGAAGGCATACTCTTCTCAGAGTAGTTGGTTGTAAAATAGGCAAGTTTCTTGTTTTAAAAACTTTTGTTTGAACTCTTCAATCTTTTGTAAAATGCTTAACCACACTGCCTACTCAAGTGTTTTTTACCTCAGCCTTCCCAGAGACCAGCCCTTTGGGGATCAACTTAAAGAAAAATAATTTCTGAGTTGCTGAGACATTGGGTTTATGAAATAATGGGGAAAACTGACAGTTTACCTGTACAATTGACCTTCATCTTTCTCTCTTACCTTTTTGGGGAAATCAAACTTTTGGGTTTTTTTTCTTTCTTTAATGTGAAGCTTTTTTTTTTTTTTAATTTTGTTTTAACAAACACCTTTAGTCACATTAATTTCCAGTAAAAATAGGACTTTTCTTAACTGTGCGTTCATTTCCAGTATAGGTAGGATCTTTTCACTTGACACCTTTTAAAAATGTGTTTTCCCAGAGAAATTTCTGTGATTTTTTTTTTTTTTTAATTTAATTAACTTTCTTTTTAAGATGCTAGACTTAAGGGTTGACATGAGAATGAATCTTTAAGCAAAAGTCCCAATTACTTTGGAAGAAACATTGAAGCCTCAATTAAACCTATTCTTGGAAATGCTTAAAGACATGCTTAACTTCAAGCACACACTTGGATGCTCCTGTGAATAAAAATGGACTTGCAAATGTAATTTTGTTGCCGTGAGCTGGTTACATCTGTGGTTGTAGAGCAAATACACCAGTCTCTTTTTGTTGGTGAGGCCAATGACCTGGTCTGGCTGTATCCATGTTATGGTTTCCTTACTCCCCAAAACAGGCGGCAGGGGGAGCACATATGAGCTATCTCATACCTGGGAAATTATCCCAGACCCTTCCTTACTGTCACATTGTTCCTGTCTGTCCTCGGATTGAGAATCTCTTAGTCAACCTTGATCCAAAAGCAAGACAGATACACTTTTAGCAGCATTCCAGTGCCTGGGCCTGCACCCTGGTGTGCTGCTCAGTTCATGGGTATAGAAGTAGCCTTAAAGAATGGAAAAGAAAAATAAACAAAAAAAGGCTGCTCATGATAAAAGATAATAGTAGCTTAGTTCCAAAATACTCAGAATACAATAAACAGAACACTACTCCTTTTTACCACTAGTTATTCATACGTTATTACAGGACTTCTGAATACTGTGGAAAAATGTTCTTGGAAGGTAAATTTCAATCATATGAGTAAGTATTTGTAACAGTAAAAAATGTAATTTGTATATGTGATTATTCCTAGCAGGTTTTATGCCTGGTAATGCAATCAGGAGACAAATGATGTCTCAGAGTATGGATTTCCTGAGGGATAGCAGGAATTTTATCTTCCCTCTCTTTTTTTCAGTTTTAGAGGTGGAGAAGAGTCATGTGTAATAACTGGGAGTACATTTGTGTGCATTTCACTCTTGCCTGGACTTGCTTTTAATGCAGAAGGCCCAGAATGGCAGCAGAAACAGAAAGCACACATGGAGTTTTATTTAGTGTGTGGATTTGTAGATTTTGGGTCATATAATTTAATGCATAAAGCCTGTAGAATTTGAGGTGAAAAAGAAGGGCTACTTGAAAAATCTTAACTATGAAGCAGCTCAATTTTCAAGTGAAGTAAAACATCCTTGGAGTGTGATTTATTTTTTTTTTTTTTTAGTGTTATGTTTATGTTGTTAAATTTCAAAGCATTTGAAACTAACACTGTGATACTTCAGGGGGAAAAGAAAAAAAAAAGGAATGGAGTCTTTATCACTATGTTCCTTGGAGCTGCTTGAATGGTTCAGGTTTGACAGTGCTGGATTTGTGATTTGATGTCTTGGGAACTTCAGCAAAAGACATAAAACGTGTGTTTTGGACATCTTGCTACTAACTATATACTACCTTTTTGGTAGGAATTGAATAAACTTTTCAATGTTTTCAAGTATCCTCTTCTATACCAGCCTGTAAGTACATTTTTTCAGGTTGTCCAGCTAAGTTGCAGTTTTAGTCCCACTGGCTGTCATCCTTGAAATACGAGTGTGAGGCTGAATTGAATTTAAGATTAACTGTTGGGTTTGGGATTTCTTTTCCTGTTGGTTTGGTTGTTTGGTTTTTTATTTTTTTCCCATGGCTCAGCTCTGACTAATCTTTTCTTTCCTTCCCCAGTCATTCTTATCCTTTTGGTAGAGAAACTTATACACTTTGGCCTTTATATTAATGCATTTTATATATAATCTCCTGATATGTATGTACATATTAATGAACTCCATTTACAAGAGTTTGTGGTTTCTGACATGGGTGGGTGACGTACATGGTCCCTTTTCTTACTGGTGAGTTTGGTGACTAGCTGCACCCTGTCAGACCTAAAACAAGCCTTCCTCCCATATGTTTGCTTCTTGGGAGCTGCTCTTGCCATGCTCCCTTTGCCAAGGAATAGCTCCTGAGTTACTTTAAAGAGGTTGACTGGATAGCAACATTTTAGCTTTCCATGCCTTTAGTTGAGGAACTACTTCCTCTGTGTGCCACACTGAAGGCATTGAGGGTTTTAGGGAGAGAGGATATCACCCATAAACTCTCTTGCACTTAGACACTCCTCGTTTATGGCACAGCTACTAATGTTAAGTTTTTTAAGTGGAGTGTTTTGAAGGAGTTTGAGCTCTTTAAAAGCATTTGCTTATTTCCTACTTGGATCAACTCTATCGGATCCCTCTCCCTATTCCCCCCCCTGCCACATCAGTTTTCCTCTATTTACCAGCTCCCCCATCAAGAGAAGGTTTAGGGCTTGGGGAATTACTTCCTCCCAGCTACAGCAGTTAATGAGTTTTTCTTCTTTCAGTGCCTGTTTCCACTGTAGACTGATGCAAACAGAAAGAATAAAA